CATGCCTGAAGTGGAGTACCTGTAGGGGGACACATCTCGAAGAACTGTGATTACTTCACAGGGTCGGTAACCTTTTCTTCCTCCCTTTAGGACTTTCCTCCCTCTTGAGTTGTCTGACTGATGGAGAAGTAGCCCCTTTGGCAATGGCCCTTAGTCACCTAAAGGATTCTTGCAAAGCATCATTTTTGAAAACCCAGTTCTACTTTAAGCTGAAGAACCGGGTTTTTGAAAATGAGGATTTTGAAAATCAGGATCTCTTAGACCAGTAAGTGATCGTCATCAAAGGGGAGGAGAGAGACTCTAAGGAGGGACCTTCCTTCTGCCCCACAGGGACATCCCATTCCTGGTGAGGGTTGCTGCCGCAAGAGTGAGAGGGAACTTGGAGCCCCTTCTCTAGAAACCCCTTCACCCTCCCTCCCTTAGAAATATCCCCAGAGCTGCACTGGTGGTTGGGGGGATTTGGAGGGGCTTCAGCAGGACAGGAGCAGGGCTGAGTGGCCATTCTTCTGTCCCTCAAGTCAGCTTCTGGGGTACCATCTTCTATCTTTATGGGAGACTGTCCCAACCTTAACTCTGCCCCTGTTGAGCAATGGCTCACTGGGTCCCTGTTGGAGATCATGGGACTGTATCCATACTGCACACATGACAAGTAGTGAGCAAAGTGAGGATTAGGGGTGTGTGTGAGAAACACCTAGGTTTTGTCATGACTAGAAAAAAAGCCAAGTTTCAGTTAGGCTTGACTTATAGGAGCTAGGTAAATGCAACCTAAACACAACCAACTTTCTTTGTTCCTCTGGGCAGTCACTGTTGTTTAACCCTGGCTGAGCCTTGTGGCACATTGTAATGTATACCAATACCCTGACAGTGCAGCTCAGAGAGTGTGCGTGGCCAGTACAAATGTGGAGTTTTGGTGGACAATGAGAATATGAAAGGGGGGTTTGACTCGGGGGAGAAATATTTACTCCTTTTTCCTGTTGACATCCCTAATGGATGTCACCTTCTGGAGGTGACAGTGAGAGACCTGCAGACCACCAGCAAATGCTCCCTGTATCAATACTGCTAGATTTAGCTTAGTGAGGGATAGTGTGACTGTCTGATTAAAAGCAAAGCAGTGGAGTTGTGCTGAACACACAGAACTCTGAAATGCAGAGTGCCTGTTCTCCACAGAAGCAGAATTAAGGTTGTGCAGCTCTGTGAAACATTAGTTTAATTCTGTATTTCATAGTTTAAGTTTATCCACCATCATGTTCTAGAAGGGCATGAGAAATCAGTAGGCAAGCTTGACTGTATTAACAATTTTTTTGCAGTGACCTGACTGCATATTTATCAATTTTGATTAACTGTCCAAAAAACTTCTAAATTAACACAATATTAAACCTTTGAAAACAGAAAATGCAAACTTAAGCTATATGCTACCTTTACCACATGATCTTGATTCTGCTCTACCTAGCTGGCAATAATAGCCCCTCGGAGTGGTTCAGTGAGGGTAATACCATAATAAGTAAACATGAGGAAGGACTAAGAGAATGTGCCATCGATTGTGTACCATGGATTTGAATTCCCAGAATTTTTCTGCTTACACTCCCAGCTGTATTTGCTGTGTTGGCTGTAGCTTAGTAGCATGTGCCTATGATATGCATCGAGCGTGCCTCTTCTCAGCTTCTATCCCCAGTCTCGGCATGTGCGCCTGTACAACGCATTGAGGATACCTGTTCCCAGTGCCCAGCACAGTCCCTGTCCATCATGCTTGGTGCTGCCCGGCAGATATTCAGCAAGTCTGTTCCAGCAGAAAACTAACTTCTCTTGTCTGGCACTCTTGTATTGGCCTCTCTGAGGCCATTTTCTAGTCCCTCTCAAGTAATCCTGGATCCACAGCACAATCCAGATTCCATATTCCCCCAGAACAGTACTGGCCACCAACCTGTGCGTCAAAAGCTAATTTGTTAGTACTATCTGTGCTTAGACTGTAGGGACTTGTCAACGCAAACAATTAGCCCATGGCAAGCTGGGGCAGGGAGCTATTCTGCATTACCCTGCCGCAGACTAACTCTTCATGTGGATTTTGCTGATGCACATTAACATTTCATTAAATATGCTTTTCAAAGAGAATTAGATCAAAGCACATTAATGAATTGTTAATGCACATCAGCAGAGTCTATGCAGGCTAGGACGAGGTGGAGTGTCACCCCAGGTTGTTATGAATTAAATGTTCATGTATATAAGCCCTAAGACTTGCCGTTGATTTCCTCCTCAGAAACTTTGGTGTGAATGACGCACACTGAGCAATCACTTAGGGTATGTCTACACTACGGAATAAAATCGAAATTATAGAAGTCGGTTTTTTAGAAATCGGTTTTATATATTCGAGTGTGTGTGTCCCCACAGAAAATGCTCTAAGTGCATGAAGTGCATTAACTCGGCGGAGTGCTTCCACAGTACCGAGGCTAGAGTCGACTTCCGGAGCGTTGCACTGTGGGTAGCTATCCCACAGTTCCCGCAGTCTCCGCTGCCCATTGGAATTCTGGGTTGAGATCCCAATGCCTGATGGGGCTAAAACATTGTCGCGGGTGGTTCTGGGTACATATCGTCAGGCCCCCGTTCCCTCCCTCCCTCCGTGAAAGCAAGGGCAGACAATCATTTCGTGCCTTTTTTCCTGAGTTACCTGTGCAGACGCCATACCACGGCAAGCATGGAGCCCGCTCAGGTAACCGTCACCCTATGTCTCCTGGGTGCTGGCAGACGCGGTACGGCATTGCTACACAGTAGCAGCAACCCCTTGCCTTGTGGCAGCAGACGGTACAGTACGACTGGTAGCCGTCATCGTCATGTCCGAGGTGCTCCTGGCCACGTCGGCTGGGAGCGCCTGGGCAGACATGGGCGCAGGGACTAAATTTGGAGTGACTTGACCAGGTCATTCTCTTTAGTCCTGCAGTCAGTCCTATTGAACCGTCTTATGGTGAGCGGGCAGGCGATACGGACTGCTAGCAGTCGTACTGTACCATCTTCTGCCGAGCAGCCATGAGATGTGGATGGCATGCAGTCCTTCTGCACCGTCTGCTGCCAGCCAAAGATGTAAAAGATAGATGGAGTGGATCAAAACAAGAAATAGACCAGATTTGTTTTGTACTCATTTGCCTCCTCCCCTGTCTAGGGGACTCATTCCTCTAGGTCACACTGCAGTCACTCACAGAGAAGGTGCAGCGAGGTAAATCTAGCCATGTATCAATCAGAGGCCAGGCTAACCTCCTTGTTCCAATAAGAACGATAACTTAGGTGCACCATTTCTTATTGGAACCCTCCATGAAGTCCTGCCTGAAATACTCCTTGATGTACAGGCACCCCCTTTGTTGATTTTAGCTCCCTGAAGCCAACCCTGTAAGCCGTGTCGTCAGTCACCCCTCCCTCCGTCAGAGCAACGGCAGACAATCGTTCCGCGCCTTTTTTCTGTGCGGACGCCATACCAAGGCAAGCATGGAGGCCGCTCAGCTCACTTTGGCAATTAGGAGCACATTAAACACCACACGCATTATCCAGCAGTATATGCAGCACCAGAACCTGGCAAAGCGATACCGGGTGAGGAGGCGACGTCAGCGCGGTCACGTGAGTGATCAGGACATGGACACAGATTTCTCTGAAAGCATGGGCCCTGCCAATGCATGCATCATGGTGCTAATGGGGCAGGTTCATGCTGTGGAACGCCGATTCTGGGCTCGGGAAACAAGCACAGACTGGTGGGACCGCATAGTGTTGCAGGTCTGGGACGATTCCCAGTGGCTGCGAAACTTTCGCATGCGTAAGGGCACTTTCATGGAACTTTGTGACTTGCTTTCCCCTGCCCTGAGGCGCATGAATACCAAGATGAGAGCAGCCCTCACAGTTGAGAAGCGAGTGGCGATAGCCCTGTGGAAGCTTGCAACGCCAGACAGCTACCGGTCAGCTGGGAATCAATTTGGAGTGGGCAAATCTACTGTGGGGGCTGCTGTGATGCAAGTAGCCCACGCAATCAAAGATCTGCTGATATCAAGGGTAGTGACCCTGGGAAATGTGCAGGTCATAGTGGATGGCTTTGCTGCAATGGGATTCCCTAACTGTGGTGGGGCTATAGACGGAACCCATATCCCTATCTTGGCACCGGAGCACCAAGCCGCCGAGTACATAAACCGCAAGGGGTACTTTTCGATAGTGCTGCAAGCTCTGGTGGATCACAAGGGACGTTTCACCAACATCAACGTGGGATGGCCGGGAAAGGTGCATGATGCTCGCATCTTCAGGAACTCTGGTCTGTTTCAAAAGCTGCAGGAAGGGACTTTATTCCCAGACCAGAAAATAACTGTTGGGGATGTTGAAATGCCTATATGTATCCTTGGGGACCCAGCCTACCCCTTAATGCCATGGCTCATGAAGCCGTACACAGGCAGCCTGGACAGTAGTCAGGAGCTGTTCAACTACAGGCTGAGCAAGTGCAGAATGGTGGTAGAATGTGCATTTGGACGTTTAAAGGCGCGCTGGCGCAGTTTACTGACTCGCTTAGACCTCAGCGAAACCAATATTCCCACTGTTATTAATGCTTGCTGTGTGCTCCACAATATCTGTGAGAGTAAGGGGGAGACGTTTATGGCGGGGTGGGAGGTTGAGGCAAATCGCCTGTCTGCTGGTTACGCGCAGCCAGACACCAGGGCGGTTAGAAGAGCACAGGAGGGCGCGGTACGCATCAGAGAAGCTTTGAAAACCAGTTTCATGACTGGCCAGGCTACGGTGTGAAAGTTCTGTTTGTTTCTCCTTGATGAAACCCCCCGCCCCTTGGTTCACTCTACTTCCCTGTAAGCTAACCACCCGCCCCTCCTCCCTTCAATCACCGCTTGCAGAGGCAATAAAGTCATTGTTGCTTCACATTCATGCATTCTTTATTCATTCATCACACAAATAGGGGGATGACTACCAAGGTAGCCCAGGAGGGGTGGTGGAGGAGGGAAGGAAAATGCCACACAGCACTTTAAGCACAGCACTTTAAAAGTTTACAACTTTAAAATTTATTGAATGACAGCCTTCTTTTTTTTGGGCAATCCTCTGTGGTGGAGTGGCTGGTTGGCCGGAGGCCCCCCCACCGCTTTCTTGGGCGTCTGGGTGTGGAGGCTATGGAACTTGGGGAGGAGGGCGGTTGGTTACAGAGGGGCTGCAGTGGCAGTCTGTGCTCGAGCTGCCTTTGCTGCAGCTCAACCATACACTGGAGCATATTGGTTTGGTCCTGCAGCAGCCTCAGCATTGAATCCTGCCTCCTCTCATCATGCTGCCGCCACATTTGAGCTTCAGCCCTGTCTTCAGCCCGCCACTTACTCTCTTCAGCCCGCCACCTCTCCTCCCGGTCATTTTGTGCTTTCCTGCACTCTGACATTATTTGCTTCCACGCATTCGTCTGTGCTCTGTCAGTGTGGGAGGACAGCATGAGCTCGGAGAACATTTCATCGCGAGTGCGTTTTTTTTTCTTTCTAAGCTTCACTAGCCTCTGGGAAGGAGAAGATCCTGTGATCATTGAAACACATGCAGCTGGTGGAGAAAAAAAAAGGGACAGCGGTATTTAAAAAGACACATTTTATAAAACAGTGGCTACACTCTTTCAGGGTAAACCTTGCTGTTAACATTACATACGTAGCACATGTGCTTTCGTTACAAGGTCGCATTTTGCCTCCTCCCACCACGTGACTACCCCCTCAACCTTCCCCCCTCCCTGTGGCTAACAGCGGGGAACATTTCTGTTTAGCCACAGGCAAATAGCCCAGCAGGAATGGGCTCCTCTGAGTGTCCCCTGAAGAAAAGCACTCTATTTCAACCAGGTGACCATGAATTATATCTCACTCTCCTGAGGATAACACAGAGAGATAAAGAACGGATGTTGTTTGAATGCCATCAAACATACACTGCAATGCTTTGTTCTACAATGATTCCCGAGTACGTGTTACTGGCCTGGAGTGGTAAAGTGTCCTACCATGAAGGATGCAATAAGGCTGCCCTCCCCAGAAACCTTTTGCAAAGGCCTTAGGACTACATCTAGGAGAACCGCAAATGCCAGGGCAAAGTAATCCTTTCACATGCTTGCTTTTAAACCATGTATAGTATTTTAAAAGGTACACTCACCAGAGGTCCCTTCTCCGCCTGCTGGGTCCAGGAGGCAGCCTTGGGTGGGTTCGGGGGGTACTGGCTCCAGGTCTAGGGTGAGAAACAGTTCCTGGCTGTCGGGAAAACCGGTTTCTCCGCTTGCTTGCTGTGAGCTATCTACAACCTCCTCCTCCTCATCATCTTCTTTGTCCCCAAAACCTGCTTCCGTATTGCCTCCATCTCCATTGAAGGAGTCAAACAACACGGCTGGGGTAGTGGTGGCTGAACCCCCTAAAATGGCATGCAGCTCATCATAGAAGCGGCATGTTTGGGGCTCTGACCGAGAGCGGCTGTTCGCCTCTCTGGTTTTCTGGTAGGCTTGCCTCAGCTCCTTCAGTTTCACGCGGCACTGCTTCGGGTCCCTGTTATGGCCTCTGTCCTTCATGCCCTGGGAGATTTTCACAAAGGTTTTGGCATTTCGAAAACTGGAACGGAGTTCTGATAGCATGGATTCCTCTCCCCAAACAGCGATCAGATCCCGTACCTCCCGTTCGGTCCATGCTGGAGCTCTTTTGCGATTCTGGGACTCCATCATGGTCACCTGTGCTGATGAGCTCTGCATGGTCACCTGCAGCTTGCCACGCTGGCCAAACAGGAAATGAGATTCAAAAGTTCGCGGTTCTTTTCCTGTCTACGTGGCCAGTGCATCTGAGTTGAGAGTGCTGTCCAGAGCGGTCATAATGGAGCACTCTGGGATAGCTCCCGGAGGCCAATACCATCGAATTGTGTCCACAGTACCCCAAATTCGAGCCGGCAACGTCGATTTAAGCGCTAATCCACTTGTCAGGGGTGGAGTAAGGAAATCGATTTTAAGAGCCCTTTAAGTCAAAATAAAGGGCTTCATTGTGTGGACGGGTGCAGGTTTATATCGATTTAACGCTGCTAAATTCGACCTAAAGTCCTAGTGTAGACCAGGGCTTAGACCTCGTCTACCCTACATAGTTTTGTCGGCAAAAGGCATTTTTGCCGACAAAGCAGTGGAGGTGTACACACTGCAAAGCTACTTTTGGCTGCAAAACAAAACCACCTTGATGAGGCAATGTCTACACTGCACAGCTTTTAGCGACACGGCTGTGTCACTACAGCCGTGCCGCTAAAAGTCTTGCAGTGCAGCCGCTATTTGTTGGCTCCCCTGCGAAAAAGAAACTTCAACGCTCAATGTTTGCGTTGTCGGCAGCTCTCCTGCCGACAACATGCTGTTCACACTGGTGCTTGTTGCGGCAAAACTTTTTTCTTTCGGGAGGAGGGGGTTAACACCTCTGAAAGACAAATTTTGTCATTCATTTGCAAGTGTAGACATAGCCTGAGAGGTATAAAGCTTTTTGCGCCAAAGTTAAAGTGACAAAGACACTGCCATTCGTTATGTTGATGTAATTGGCCTCCCCCAGTATCCCACAATGCCCACTGTGACCGCTCTGCTTATTGTTTTGAACTCAGTTGCCCTGCAGGAATGCACTCCTCCCCTTTCAAAGCTTCCGGAAGTTCTGAGAGCTGAGCATGCCGCTCTGCTAAGAGCAAATCATTAAAGTCCTCCTGCCCCTGCTTACATCCCCCCCCCAGCCCCCCACCCCCCCTGCACTAGGAACACAGTGGCAGACAGGCTGCTGCTGCGGGTGGGGGGAACTGCTGTGCTGTGCAGAGCCAGGGTGGGAGGTGGGGACTGATGAACTCGGCTGTCCTGCATCTAGTCCTGCAATGGCCTATGGTGGGATATTAGATGGGGTGGGATCTGAGTTACCCAGGAAAGAATTTTCTGTAGTATCTGGCTGGTGAATCTTGCCCATATGCTCAGGGTTTAGCCGATCACCATATTTGGGGTCGGGAAGGAATTTTCCTCCAGGGCAGATTGGAAGAGACCCTGGAGGTTTTTCGCCTTCCTCTGTAGCATGGGGCACGGGTCTCTTGCTGGAGGATTCTCTGCACCTTGAAGTCTTTAAACCATGATTTGAGGACTTCAATAGCTCAGACATAGGTGAGAGGTTTTTCGCAGGAGTGGGTGGGTGAAATTCTGTGGCCTGCGTTGTGCAGGAGGTCGGACTAGATGATCATAATGGTCCCTTCTGACCTTAGTATCTATGAATCTATCTAGCTAGGTAAGTATGCACCCCATCCCGTTCAAAGCTTTGGGAAGCTTTGACATTCCACAGCCTGGAGAGCTCACAGAGCTGCTGAGGATGCGGCTTCCAGTAGCTGAGGAAGCTGTGGGAGAACTCGGAGGGAATCACAGAACTATTAATATGGAACCAGCAGGCAGGCTGACGCTAGTTGCTACTGCGGGGTGGGGAGGGGAGTCTGCTGTGTTGCTCAGGCTGCTGTCAGAACTTAGAGACAGCATGCCAACACAGTCTCCCTCAACACACACAGTCCCCCGCCCGCACACTCTCACACACTGCCCCAACGCACATTATGTCTCTGTCTCCCCTCCCATCCATACCCTCTGTCACACACTCATCCCCTTCCCCCTACATATGCTTCAGATGAAAAATGGCTGGCAGTCTAGTAGGATGCCCATAGAATGATGGGATTGAGAAACCTGCATCATGTGTTGCTGTACCTGCCCCATGAGGCATTGCAAACCCTCCCCAAAGTACCCTATGGCCAGCTGCACTGTGGGTAGGTATCCCTGTGTCGAAGCAAGAGCTCCTAGTGTGGATGCGCTCTGCCGACACAAGGGGCATTGTGTGGACATGCAGCAGTGGTTTAATTATAGCATTTTAATTAAGATGGCATAATTTTTGTTGACAAAACTCTGTAGTGTAGACACGGCCTTAGTGATTTAAGGGAAAAAGTGCTATTCCTAGAACCAGGGACAATGAGTTCAAATCCTCTACTCAGATGACTTGCATGCTGTGCACATTACTGCTTTCAACCTTTTTGCATCTCAGCACTCCCTTCTTGCTTCCAGTTGAGTTATGCAAAAAATGATATGATCAGCTCATTTTAGGGGGGCTGTGTATGAGGGAACCCTTGACCAAATGACCTGCTTTTCTCTGATCCCACTCAATCTTGTTGTTCAGGAAAGTTGAGGAGCATGAATCATGACTATGTTACCCTGACTGCTTCCTAGAGTGGTTCACCTGCCCTCTATTTAATTAATGGTATTTTCTTTGACAGTATTTTTAAAGTAAAATTAGAGTCAGCATATGGATTTTGGAGCACTATTAAACCAGAAGCTTTGGTCTCAGGGTAAATCTTCCAAATGAAGCTCCCAAATGACTCAATATAGGGGTTAAATGGACATATTATGTCACCTTGAACAGGCCAAACAAGGAAAATAACAGAACACCACTGGCCATCACGTACAGCCTCCAGCTAAAACCTCTCCAGCGCATCAACGATCTACAACCTATCCTGGAAAACGATACCCCATTCTCACAGGCCTTGGGAGGAAGGCCAGTCCTCACTTACAGACAGCCCCCCAACCTGAAGCAAATACTCACCAGTAACTACACACCACACTACAGAAACACTAACCCAGGAACCAACCCCTGTAAGAAACCCCATTACCTTCTCGGTCCCCATATCTACTCTAGCAGCACCATCATAAGACCCCAACCACACCAGCCACACCATCAGAGGCTCTTTCACCTGCACATCTACTAATGTAATATATGCCATCATGTGCCAGCAGTGCCCCTCAGCTATGCCCCAACTGGACAGTCTCCACGTAAAAGGATAAATGGACACAAATCAGACATCTGGAATGGTAACATACAAAATCCAGTCGAAGAACACTTCAATCTCCCTGGACATTCAGTAACAGTTTTAAAGTTGCCATTCTTCAACAAAAAAAACTTCAAAAACAGACTTCAAAGAGAAACTGCAGAGCTACAATTCGTTTGCAAACTTAGCACGATCAATTTGAATAGGGACTGGGAGTGGCTGGCTCACTACAAAAGCAATTTTCCCTCTCTTGGTATTGACACCACCTCATCAATTATTGCGGGTAGACCACATCCACCCTGACTGCATTGGCCGTCAGCATTGGTTCTCCACTTGTCAGGTAATTCCCTTCTCTTCATGTGCCAAAAAATATTTATGCCTGTATCTGTAATTTTCTCTCCATGCATCTGAAGAAGTGGGTTTTTTACCCATGAAAGCTTATGCCCAAATAAATCTGTTAGTCTTTAAGGTGCCACCAGACTCCTCATTGTTTTTGTGGATACAGAATAACACGGCTACCCCTCTGATACTTGAACAACCTGTGACATCAGGCTGCCTGCAAACCTTCTGGCTTTTAACAGACTTACTATTCCTGCTGCATGTGCAAATTTCACTCTCTGTAACTTATCAGTTTGGGTGGGCTTGCATTGGGGCTCCCAATTTTACCCTCAGTAACTTTTGAAGTATTGTTTTTTTGAGTAGTGGCCCTATGGGTGCTCCACATCAGCATATGTGCGCTCATGTGCACTCTTGATTGGAGATTTTTGCCAGCAGTGTCAACACATGGGCCCTAGATACCCGCATGCCCCAATTAAAAGTGTATATAGGGACTCTCTGCCACTCCAATTCCTTCTAAATCACCTGTGCCTTGTGTTGGAGCATCATAATGTCTGTTAGTTGAGCCACACAGCTTGCTACACCTTGCTTTATTTAATACCCTTTTTTCATAGTTTTTATTTTTTAATTTTTTTATTTGGCACAGTTTGTTCTGAGGTCTCTTCCAACCCTAATCTTTTATGATTCTATGAAATGCTATCTTCCCAAGTCTTCCCTATCACCAGATGAGGTCATCATACCTCCTGCACCATCTTATCCCAGTGAGTTAAAGGCCTCTTCAGACCTTATGAAAAGGGTAGCAGACATTTTACAAGTCCTGTTGGAGGAGATTCAGGAGCCCCACCATTCCTTGTTGGCTATCCTTCATTCACCTCCTCTGGGCAAGATTGCTTTGCCCATCAACAATGCTTTGCTTACCCCTGCACCACGGTGTGGCAAACTCCAGCTACTGTCCCATCCACATGTAAAATGTACTACATCGCTCCCAGAGGCTCAGATTATTTTTTCCCACCCTACTCCCAACTCTCTGGTTGTGGAGACTGTCATCAATGGAACAGGTAACATCAGTTCCATTCAACACCATCCGATAAAGAGTTAAAACTATGAGACCTTACGGGCTGCAAGAGCTACTCCTTGGCCTCCGTGCAGTTCACAATAGCCAATTATCATGGCAAAATATGACTTCACAGTCTATTGAAAATTCTTATCTTTTATTGAACACCTGCCTTCATTCCCTTAAAGAATGTGCAATACTACGATCTTTGGAGATCTATACATCAGTGACAAAAAGAAAACACAGTAAATTGCAGACGGCTCAACGGTCTCTCCCAGTCCACTCTCAATCCACCAGACCAGCTGAGACCCCCAAGGAAAATGCCCAGATTTACTAAGAAAGGGCTCTCTTCTACAGCAACCTTTCAGTTGATGTCATCCTTGAAATGCCCATTTCGACCTGTTTCCCACCAACACCTTTATGCTGATCGTCTCTCCCATTTCCTACCTTCTTGGGAGTTCGTCACTTCAGACAATGGATCCTAGAAATGATTTCTACAGGCTACTCTATCCAGTTCAGCTCCATGCCACCCTCTCCCCTTTCCCATCCTCTCTTCAGGGATCCCTCTCACAAAGACCTCTTAAGGCAGGAGGTACACTTCCTTCTTGCTCTGGGGCAATCAGACCTGTTCCACTGGACTTCATCAGGATGTTATCAATACCTCCTTGTTCGGAAGAAAATTGTGGACCTCGAGATTTTAAAATATCTTTGTCCACTTTCAACGCTTCAGAATGGTAACCCTGGAAACATTAATTCCCTTTCTGGATCCAAGAGATTGGTTTGTTTCCCTCAACCTTCAGGATGTTTATTTTCATGTTGCTATT